GAGAGAGAGAGAGAGAGAGAGCAATAGAGAGAGCGAGAGAGAGAAAGAGAGAGAGAGAGAGAGAGAGAGAGGGAGAGAGAGAGGGGAGGGAAAGGGAGAGAGACTGGAGTCTTTGTTATGGCATACATATTCCCCCAAAGATTACTTTTTACGAATACGAGTAAGACGGTCGATGAATGTGTGCACCCCCCAATCCCCCCAACAAACAAAGAAATAAAACAAACAAAACCCCAACAATAACAAACAAACAAAAAACAACAGCAACAACAACCAAAACAACCAAAACAAAACAACAACAACAACAGCAATAACAAACAAACAAGCAAACAAACAAACAAACAAACAAAAAAGATAGAACAACTTTAGAAAATACCATGTCAGTGCTGGGCAAATTGTGCCTGCCAAATATGTGACCTAAATTCCTTTGTGGGCGTAACTGTGCGAACTACATTTTTTTTGCTACAGGACTCGTAATCGTGAGATTGCGGGTTCGGGGGTTCGAGCCTCAGTTCGGTGCGATGTTGTGTCCTTTAACTCTTTATCTCCGGCAAGCTCTTCCCAGCTGCTCGAAGTCGGAATCACTGTGCCGGGCGGTCAGCTGCTCACAGCGGCTCGGGCACCTTCCTTTACGACAACTTCTACATCAAATTACTTTTCAGCCGTTGCCGAAAACAGGTCTCTTTTACCGGGATTTCATTCCTTAGATTAGAACTCTCGACAGGTACACTTGTTTTGATTTAATGACCTATTTAGTGACGTTTTTTAATCTTCTGATTTAGTACCAAAGAAGGGCCCAGGCGTAGTTGGTTTACTCCTCTCGGAAATAAAGAGTTAAGTCCTTTACACGAATTATCCTCTTGGCTCGGTCCTTTCGGAGATAGACGTAGAAATCGTAGGTCTCGCCTCTTAAAAGCCCAGCAGTGTTGATAGGGACATCAATAAATGTATACCATTTCACCATTTTTTAGATTTTATGATGAGGGAAACAGAGAAACGAATGGAGAAAGTCAATTTTCGTCATTAACAACGTAAGCAACACGGCAGCAGCACCAACATTAGAAGGAACAGTATTAGCAGCAGCAAATCGCCTCCCCCCCCTAGAATTACAAAGTTGTATCTGCCCAGTACCCAGTTTTGAGAAATATGACGTCAAGAATTTTGAGTTTCACAACTTATCAAGCTTTTTCAAAAATCAATTTTTTTGAATATCTTGATAACGACTGCAACTTACGATTTTGACAGAGCTGACAGAATTCTTGGTTTCTGACCTCATGGTCTTCATCATCATCATCCAGTGCCAGATCTGCGACAGACATCGGCGATCATGATTTTCCATTCATTCCTTTGCTCGGATGCTCTCAGAAAAGCTACGTTTCCCTGATCTTTCCCTGTTACCCATTTGTTTAGGTTCCCTAAGTATGTTGTTCTGGGCCTACCACTGCCTCGCTTGCCCTCAGTTTTGCCAGTGAGAGCTAGATGTTCAAGACCCTCATGGTCTTAGTAACTCAAAAAGGCCAAAATGTCAAATAGAATGTGGTAATTCCAAGGTAGTGAAATAGAATCTACACCCCGCTCAGTTCTGTAGCAACAACACCAGCAGCCAGAGTGCCAGGGGCAAGGCAGGGAGGGACACAAGGGAAAAGAAGGCTGAACGCTGCATGACCGCCAATCTGGCTCACATTAGCCAACCTCCCAGCGGAAAAGACCGCCATTTGGCCTCACGTAAACCGGCAATTACCGCCACCAAGACACCCCGGCAGGTTACCACCGAGACTCGGGCGACACAGGAGGAAACTCACCGGCCATACCTCCCGCAGAGCTGCAAAAATAACAGATAGTGCATAAGTGGCACGAACAACTCATGGCATCCCCCTGACCCAAGCTCTCCGGCTCGTGGCAGAGAGACGCCCCTTTCTTCCCGCGACACCCAAAGGGGTATGAGCGGCGGATAAAAGTAAAAATAAAGTAAAAGTAAGCATAAGGGGCTGGACTGTTCTATTTATGTTTAATATGGTATTTCATAATCTGGTGTCTCGGTTCGATGTAAGTTCCGGTCGACTTTTAAGTTAACAATTTTGGTATTTCTGTGTGACGTAAGAGTATGACCGATGAGTGTCAGTGCTCCTGAATGAGAGAGCCAATAACGACTTAGTGGGACACTTTTATAATGATGCTGCAGTGTGTAGCCATTGTGCACCTAACGCTGACCTGTTATGCAACAATTAACAGTACGAGCTATTTCAGTACTCCGAAGCTTCAGTTTGCCTGTAATATAATCTTGTCTCATAAACGTTTCCGGTATCGGAGCACGAGTTTTTCACTTATTGTCCTCATAGGACAAACGAAAAAGGTGTAATATATTGTAATGGAATGAGAAGTCATGTGATGTACTGTAATGTAATGTACTGGAATGTAACGTACTGTAACGTACTGTAACGTACTGTAAGGCACTGTAACGTACTGTAATATAATGTAAGGAAATATTGTGTAATATAATGTAACATAATGTAATATATTGTAATGTAATGTAATGTAAGGTAATGTTATAATGTAATGTTATGTAAGGTGCTGTAATGTAGTTAACAGTAATGGTATGTAATGTAACGTGCTGTAATGTAGTTAATGGTAATGTTATATAATGTAATGTATCGTAATGTGACGTAATGCAATGTAATGTAATAGTTGATGTTCTTCTCCGACATCGACACTGTTTGGATAATTTAAGAGACGGGCTGCTAAGCCCATACTTCTCAGGGCTGAGAGGGATGCAACATTTCAGATGGAGACACTCGACTAAGAAAAGATATCCCCCC